TTTCTTAACTATTTACTTGGTAACAACAGCCGAGGAGACACATTTTAATTTTGAAACATAATTCCCATTATGTAGCGATTTGTTACATATTTCAATATACTATACATGTTTCAATTTCAATATATATATATATATATATATATATATATATATATATATATATATATATATATTTGACCGAAACGATTTTGAAACAATATTAAAACAGCATATTTGCATTTTTTTTTTTCCATATTTTTTTCATACTGTCGGATCTATATCCATATATTTTTGCTTTTATATATATATATATATATATATATATATATATATATATATATATATAAAATTATAAAAAAAAATCGCTACATAAATGCAAACATGTTTCAGCACTATAGGTGCCTCTTCAGGCAGTAATGTCTAACTGGAGAATAAGCTATCGTTTTAGGGTTTAAAACACCAATACGTCTCATAAAAAATAAACAGGTTACACTGCCTCAGTTTGTTTTATACAAATTCGAAACTAACATGTGAAAATTATATTACGATTTAGAAGAGTGAAAGAGAAAACGCTGAATTTCTAACATTGTAGGGTTTGGTTTGGTTTGGTTTACGGCATATCAACCACAATGGGTTATTTAATGCCGACAATTTTTATTGCTGGTAATATTCTTTCCTACAAAAGTAATGTATAGCTGGTAATAATTTTTTTACAAAGTATCTATGGTATTAAAAACTATTTTTACATTTTCATTGTGATTTGACCCCATTTTGGGGGTTAACTATTTGCCCATAGCTAGGACCCTAGTTGGACGTAGTTTATCGTCTTACCCAGGGCATGGATGAAGTTTATAGTCATACCCAGGACGGATAACATGGTAGGGAGCGAACTAGATTAATCAATCAAATGTCGTTATAGGTCCGAAATTAACGTCTATATTGGATTCCTATTGACAGTTTTAGTTATTTAAAGTTACAATTTAAATGTTAAAAAGCGTCAGGGTATAGTATACTTTGGTCTTAAATTGCTTTTAAGATTTCCCATTTGCTGTAAGTTCTACACTGTATTGAGCATTGTTTTAAAAATAGAATGTTTAGACATTGGCATGATACTTCACTTGATCTGAAGATTGTTTTCAGTGACCAAAATCATTCTTTCGTCTTCAGTGTCCACACTTCTGTAACATAGCAAAAACGACACGTAGTCTGATAAATCGTTAGTAATAGCATAATTTCTCTAAAATTCTCTACAAATATTAAAACATTAAGTATAAAAAGAAATAACACAGCACCAATGAAATATTATTGAGGAACAGACATAATAAATATATTTTATTAGTTAAAAATATCATAACATAACACAGAAGACGCAAAGAAGTACTGAAAATGGAATCCATGGAAAAGGGAAAAATGACTTCGATATCAGGAACTAATGAAACATTAGACAAGGTATATTTATATACGTATCAGAAATCTGGAAAGTGGACCGAAATATAGCGAATAGAAATAGAACATCCCTAGATGAAAAACTTAAAAAATGTTGTCCATTTCAAAATGCGTGACGTCATTTGTTTACATTTGGATACATCATGAGCAGATATGCAGTAAAATCGACCTGGCTAACCGAACGCTCCTCTGTGGCCAAATCGGTTAAAGGCACATCAGGCTACATGACTGTTCCGTATAGGATACAGGTTCTATTCCTGTCGGAGGACGAATATTTTTCTATGAATATTTCTCGGACATTCAGGCCGGTAAATGTTGTTTAATACTGTTTATTATAAACAGAGCATTTACTTAAATATTTGTATCTATAAAAAGAATGTATAAACATAAAATGTCTTAAAATATACATATATATATGTGTGTGTGTAATGTATATATATATATATATATATATATATATATATATATATATATATATATATATATATATATATATATATTGTGTCTAGAGATTATATCCAAGATATGAATTGGTATAAAGAGTTGCGTCTTTAATGTTAAAAGTCCTATTATGATGTTGTTTAGATTCTACTCAATATTATTAACTTAGATATATAGTGATAGAAAAAACTATTGTTTTTGGTTGGAAAAAATTTTAATAAGTTAACAAAACAGACTAATTTGACTGTCAGTAGTTGATTTGCAACTATTTATTTTGATACTTTTACATTATTATACCTTGTAAAACTAATGTAAAAAAATAATATGAAAACATTTTAGAACATATTCGTCAATTTCTTAAAGGAAAAACATTAAAAAAAACATTTCATTTTAAAAATAAAAGATATATTAACCAAAAATAATAAGAACCTCTTGAATTTATTGCACAAATGCTCCTTTCTTTTCAATAACTCTTAGTAGCCTATTGTCAACATCTGATGTTAGATTTGCAATTTTAGCGGCTGGTAAGTTGTTTGCAGCAACTTTAACTGCCTCCCAGAGGTCACACTTGCTGTTGA